CGGGAATCTATAATCCAGTCTATCCTGTTAGCACCCACTCTCTATGCATAGCTACTGAGCCCTTGAGATATAGCTAGAACAACTGAGGAAATACATTTTCATCTTACCTTGTTTCTGTGAATTAAAATTTAAGATAAATTCCTAATTCTATTTTTAAAGAACTTTTTTAAAAACCTTGCAGTCTGTTTGTCTTATTATGTATGTTTTGTTCTGCTATAAATTTTATGAAAGCTAAATACATATGAATTATTTCAAATGAGTACTTAACAAATCCTGGCTGCTTTCTGTCACTATGACAAAATTCTTGAGAAGGAAGGAAAGAAGGTTTGGCTCACAGTTTCAAAGTTTCCATCCATGGCCAATAAGCCCGGTGACTCTGGCCAGGGGATAGCATGGAACATCACGGTAGGAGCATGTAAAGGGGCGCCTCATGGTGACTGGAAAGCAAAGAGAAGCTGGGGTCCCGGTGAAGCTTATCATGAGTTCTTCCTAGAGTAGGCTTCATCTCTGAAAGTTTCCATTACTTCCCTCTTTGCAGCATGACACACACTGGGGGCGAAGCCCTCAGTGCATGGACTCTGCAGAGACAGGGCAGATAAAAACTATAGTGGCATGCAGGTTGAAATGTGCTGTAACTATAAAAGGTATCTCAGATGCCAGATATTTAATATGGAAAATAATTTAAAATGTGCCAATGGGCCAGTGAGTTGGCTTAGTAAGCAGAGGTTCTTGTCTCAAAGGCTCAGAGACCCTTGGAACGCACATAAAGGTGTGGCGAGAACCCCACAGAGTTGCTTTCTGGGCTCCACATATGTGTGCACCTATCACACACAAAAACCACACAGCAATAGTGATAATAAATGATAGTCGTTGAGAAGGCTTAGCAGATAAAATGCTTGTTGTATAAGGTTGTCGTCCTGAGTCTAATCCCCAGGACAGGACAGGGCCCTCACTGAAAGGAAGAACCAATTCCCAAAGTTGTCCTTTGATCCCATACATTCTCTCTCTCTCTCTCTCTCTCTCTCTCTCTCTCTCTCTCTCTCTCTCTCTTTCCCACACACACAAATTAATTAAATTTGAGGCAGGGTTTCTCTGTGTAGCTTTGGAGCCTATCCTGGAACTCGCTCTGGAGACCAGGCTGGCCTCGAACTCACAGAGATCTGCCTGCCTCTGCTTCCCTAGTGCTGGGATTAAAGGCGTGCACCACCAATGCCTGGCTAATAGTAAACTTTTAAAGAATTTAAATATGGCACTAATTTTTTAATGGTTGTATGTGGAAATGATAACACCCTGGATATATTAGGTTTAACAAAATATATTATCCAAATCGATGTCACATGCCTCTTGTTACATTAAAATTTTTATTACATTTATTTTTAGGGGGAGGAAGTCACATTTGTGCCACAGTGCATGTGCGGAGGTCAGGGGACAACCTGCAGCAATCTGTTCTCGCCTTCCACCAGGTGAATTCTAGGTACTGAACTCAGGCTGTTGGGCTTGGCAGCGCGTGCTTCTGAGCCATCTCAGCATCCCTCTATTTACATTCTTTGGTGTGGCTCTCGTTGCATTTCAACTGGACGACACAGATCTGGCCCTCAGTGCTGTCACCTATGCTCTGAATGGGTACTGAGCCCTGGAGGTGCTAGCTCCACCTCACCCTTGACTGCCCCTACTTGCCCCCAGACTCTCGACCATGGGATCAAGACTAGACAAGGCCTCTATGACACTCATGAGAGCAGAGTCATGAATTTGTTTCTCAGGACCAGACAGGTGACCCAACAGGGAAAGTGCTAGAAGAAAAGCCACAAGCAGCCATCAAGCGTTTCAGTAAAGTCAAGGCACAAGAGGAAAGAATCTCCATACGACTGGGTCACTGTCTGTGGACTCCACGGTCCTTGGTGGTCCTCTTCCACTACTGCCTTGCTCCATTCACATCAGCCCCAAAGCCAGGGTAAAGCATTAAGTCTTCCGTCACCCACTAGTCGGGCAGGAACCACACAGCCTGCCCATGTCCCGGGACATCCAAGCATCCTTTCGCCAGCCCTGAGAACTCATTCTGAGAAGTTGGCCTGGGCAGCCTGTGATTGATTAGTCCTGGTTGTCAGCTTGACTGGATCTGGAATCAACTCAAAAGTGAGCTGTTGGGCACACCTGTGAGGGGTTGGCTTTGATTTTCTTATTTGAAGTGGGAAAGATCCACCCTACATGAGGGGGGCACCTTCCTGTGACAGCCCAGATAAAAAGAAATACCAAGAGAAAAAGCTTGGCCTTTTGCCTGCTAGCCTTCACTCTGGCTGGCAAGTTTATCCACCCAGTTGCTGTGGTAGCTGCAGCTCTTTACTGGTATTAAAACTCCAATTCCCTGTTCCCCTCTTCAGGCTTCCATTGTGGACAGAAGACTAGTGGCTCTCCAGGAATCCTCTAGACTTTTGGCACAAACTGGGACTGCTTAGGAACCCAACCATATTGAGCTGAGAACTGCTGGGTTCTCAGTCTCTTTGGTGTGAAGACAGCCATGTTGGACTTTTCAGGTCATATCCTGTAAGCCAATCTAATAAACACCATTTTAAAGTATATACATCCCATCACTTCAGTTCCTCTATCGAACCTTAACGCATGCCAGAAAGCATTCTCTCCCATGATGGGAATCAGAACTCCCACAATCCCCCCTCTCCTGTAACCCCTGTGGCTTCTGTTTGCTATATAAAATCAATTGTTCCAGAAAGGACTCCAAGGATGCCTTTGATTGGCCTGCTGGGTAGAGAAGAGGCTGTGGGAGGAGGAAAGTGCCTTTTGCTGACCTATTCTGAACCAAGGCACCAACTGGAACAGATCAGCAGTGGAGAGAAGGGAAAAGGAGGTCAGAATGGGACAAGTAAGGCTTAAAGAACAGGGAGGGACTATAAGGGCCCAAATCTTAAGACTTGCTTTAAGAAAGGAGAAATAACCAGTCTGAGTTACCAATCTGTTTTCATCCCAGAAGTACAAACTGCAAAATGCTCATCAGTATAGTTTTACCATCTGAAGTCACTGAAGACTGGAGAGACAGCTCAGTGTAGTAGTTAGCACCACACACTGCTCTTGTAGGGGACCAGAGTTCAGTTCCCAATACTCTGGTCAAGGGGCTCAATCTCCAGCTCCAGGGGAGCCAATGGCCTCTTCTGCCCTCCGCTGCACTCCCATAGACATGTCTACACATAATACTATTGAAATTTTCAAATTGTATTGAAAAATCATTCCTATATCCAATTGTATCAGTCTTAGCAAAACATAGTTATGAAGAAAGGCATTTTCATATTTTACTAATTAATATGGCCCTCCATTTAAAACTACCAAAAAAGTACTTCAATATGGAATTGAATTGTTTGTGCTTCCAGAGAAATTGCCTGCCTTTGGACAAATTAACATAACTATTGGTAAGCAAGGGTATTAATAGCCAGAACTGTTGACTGAGTGTCCTGTGGTGACATAGAGTTTATGATCTAATAAAGCTTGCATGGGGATCAGAATGCAAAGCTAGCCACAGCCATAGACAACAGGCAGTGGTGGTACACACCTTTAAATCCCAGGACTCAGTTAGACAGAGGCAGATGGATCTCTGTGTGTTCAAGACCACCCTGGGCTACATGAGAATGAATCAGTCTAAAAAAGTAATGGAGCTCACATCTTTAATCCCAGCACTAGAGATGTATATAAGGAAGAAGCAAGGGGTCTCATGTGGAATTAGTCTCCAGCCATGTTGAGGAGAGCATTGCGGTCCAGGCAGTCTGAGGAGCAGTTTGGAGGTACAATCTGAAGTTGGGTGGATCACTCCCCTTGGTCTTAGCCTTGTCTCTGAGTTTTTATTACTCATGCTACAATGTCCTTTAATCTCTAGTCTTAACTTCCTGACCCTAAAGGAGATTTTGATCTGTGGGGAAAGTGTCTCTACTCACTCCTGGAATAGCCGAGGCTCTTTCTGCAGCCTTGATACAAAACATTAGTTCAGACGCTCACCTCAGGGAGTGACCAGAATTTAGTTTAATAAAAAAAACACACAAAGATCGGGGGGGGGGGAGGTCCATAACTAGATAGAGACCAAACAACGTGAAGACCTGATCTGCAGAATGATGGGCTGACTCTGAAAGGGGACAACTGCAGGAAAAGGAGCCTGAGACTTAACACCCTCAGCTGAAAGTGCAAAGACACCACGGGGCTGGGAAAGAATGCAGCTTCCTGTGTGGTGAGAGAGACAGCTGCACAGAAGGAAGACAGGTGTGAACTGCACGGGAAGAGATGAAGGGGCAGGAGCCGGTGGCCATGGGTATGACTGCCCCTCTCTAGACCTTCCGCTGCTACCCTCCCTCACACCCATCAGGGGAGCTCATTAGTGCAGCCCAACACTCCTCTTGGTCCTGTTCTGTGCACCCACCCTATTCCCCAAGCCCCACCCAAACATCTCTCCCAAAATCCTCTCTGGAGACTTCTCTCTGCTCCAGCCCATCTCAGTGTCCTCCCTTCTCAACTGAAAGCTAAGCACAGCTCCACACCCACCGCATCCCTAACCATAGGAAGTCACTTTCTCTCAGCTGATAGCAAGTGCATCTCCATCCAGCAGAACAGACTCCCGGACAAGTTCAAAGAAGCCGATATGCCCCATGATTCCAGCCTGGTGCTGAGACTCAGTGCTCCGTGAATACTTGTGGACTGAGCAGTCTCCACCTCAGTGTGCCTGCAGGGCCACCTGGCCGTCCAGGAGAAAATTAAACAGCGTTTTGGAAGCTACCTGGGCTGTGGTCATCTCCCAGACTCTCGCGCCCCCTGCCGACCAGGAGGGAACCTACACTCAGGACAAAGTTGGCCGACAGATTGGAGAGCGGTCCTGATACAGGACCCATGGCAAGGCTGTCTGGCTTCGCTGAGGGGTCCCACTGGGTCCACCCGGGTCTACGGCATTGACCCCGAGCCCATAGGCATGGCCCGGCCTACTGCAGCACCCCGCGAGGACCCGCGGGACATGCTTAGAGTTTCTCATCCAGCTCTAAACTATAGTTCTCCCAGGCGCCCCCGTGCATCATGGCAGGACTGCCTCGGGGGGTTCTGTTCAGGTAGTTCTGGATAGCAGAGGCGCAGTCCAACCGCTCCATGGATGTCATGAGGTAGTGAAGCTCCTGCAGGCTGCCGTTCTGTTCCTCAAACAGCTCCAGGATGGCCGCAGCTGGGCTGCGCTGGCAGGATAAGAACCTGTCTCCAAGGGACAGGGGGACAGTGAAAGGAAAGCAGGGAAACTCGGGAGCAGTAAGAGGCCACCCTGCACCACACCCCTGGGCTCTGCTCCTCTTATGCCTCGGGGTCCTCTTATAAGGTAAAATCTTGCATGAGACAGCCTCTGAGAATGTCCAACCTTTTGACATTGTGCAACTTGATTAATTATTGACATTCGAGGGTCCGCCTCACTGTGGGTGATACCATCCCTGGGCAGATGGTCCTGGGTGATAAAATAAAGCAGACTTGGGCAGGCCATGGAGAGCAAAGCAATGAGCAGCACCCCTCCATGGTCTCTGCATCAGTTCCTGCCCCAGGTTCCTGTCTTGAGTTCCTGTCCTACCTTCCCTTCATGACCATGTGTCATGAATAAGCAAATAAACCCTTTCCTCCCCAGGTTGCTTTTGGCCATGATGTTTTATCACAGCAATAGAAAAACAAGCTGAGACAGGTGTTATCTACAACTTACACACTCGAGAGCCACACAAATTAAAAAAGAAAACAGAAAAATTCATGCTTTAAGTATGCTTATGATTTCGTGTTGTATCACATTCACAGTTTCTATAATGACCCTCCATTGTTCAGGAACCTTCTAGGGCCCTTTTGCAATCTGCAGCTCCTGACTGCCTCCCTCCTCCAGCACCTGGTGACACCCTTTATCTGGGACCTGCCCTTGCTTCCTCTGACCCTCAGCCTCTGTCTCCAGGCACATGCCTTCATCCCTTTGCATATCCTGCCCCCTGCACATCTGCTGCCCCCACAACCACAGTGCCTTCTCCATGGCCTTCTCTCTGATGTCCTTTCTGTCTCTCAATTCTGCAGGCCTCTGGTCAGACTCGGCTATTCTTGCTTCAACTGTCTCTCTTTTCAGTATTCTGCTATACTGAATACACACAAGGGGGCACATGGAAAACTTGCCGTTATTCTCAAGTTCTCAAAGACCCTGCTACAGATCATTCATGTTCCTAGGTGGAAACATATTTCACTCCTGTGTTCCAGCACTTAGTGGCACATAGACAGGCATTTGACAATTGCCTAAATCAGTTCTGCTTCCAAGGTCCGGCTCTAGCTCATCCCTGACCACCGCCTTCAAGCTTGGACTCTAGGACCAGCACAGCATTGTTCTTCTCCCGATTCCTTTGTGAGCTCCTTGGCAGGAGCCCCAGCTGCACTGCCACTGTGATTGCTAACACTTGCTGTGCTAACAAGCGGCAGGCTTCCAGCTACATATTGTACACACATCCTATAATCTGTTTTTCTGTGTCTTGGGCCATGGTGTGGTGAGCGCTCACTAGTACCAGTGATTTGCATTGTTCCTTGTGAAATATTTATTGCACACCTACTATGAGACAGACATCATATGCCTGATCTTGGGTTGAAAGAGTGGGCTTGGAATCCTGGGGAGAGAGTGGGGTATTCTAAATTCCACTGAGGCACTGGCACCCTTCTCTTCAACTGCAACATGATCACTACTTTCTTTATTCACTTACAGAATTCATATAACAGACACACGACTTCCACAGAGAACATACAAAAGGCTTCCTATCTATGCCCACCCAAGGAATGAACTGGGAACAATGAGCTTGGCCAGGCTTTAGACACACTGATGGGGGAGGGGCTCTTACACCACCACCCCAAACAACCCTTGAGACTCTCTTACAAAAACTGGAACCTTAACTCCTACTTCCCATTTTCTTCAGTCCTGGACTTGAACAATAATTAAAATAAAACCGTCTCTGGTATAGAGAACTGAGAGCCTGGGGGCAACCTGAGGACAAGTCACCTTCCCCAGTCTATGAGAAATAGACTGTCCTATCACCAGGTCTACTTGTCTTCTGGCCTTTGTCTCATGACTAAATTATAAGGCAGTTGTGAGGAATTGAAATCTTTCTCTCCCCAGTTTGGCTAAACTGGAAGTAAAACTATTTTTATCAACTTCTGTTTCCCAATTTCTTTGGAAACACAGGGAACACCGGTGGCTGGTTTATGGACCTGAGTGTCTGGTAATGGTTGTTCTGGAGATTAAGGATGTAGAATCAACAGAAAGAGCTGTCCTTCTAAAGGGACTCGGGTGGGAAGTAGACATTCACTGATTTTCAAGTCACCCCCTTGTCCATGGTCCAGTTCCCAGGATGTCCTGAAGTCCCCCCTTGTCTAGCCCACCTTTGACTTCCACTATAGCCCTACCATTGCTTACCGGATTTTCATGCCACAGAGACCCAGGTGGGAGGCCAGTCTTCTCCAGTCATTCCCAGTGACACTGTTGGGCTCCAACAGCATCTGCAGCTGCTCAAAGAGCTCTGGGGGCAGCCTGAGGCCGGAAACAGAGTGCTTACAAAGGAAGGCTCAGAGACAAAAGGCTGGGCCGACAGCTCAATGCCACACAATCATGAGGTCTTAAGTTCAATAACCAGCACTCACATAAAAAGCCAGTGTGGTAACATGTGCTTGTGACCCTAGCATGGGAGACAGGGAGACAGGCAGATTCCTGGGGCTTGTTGGCCACCTAGAGCTCCAAGTCCCAGTGAGAGAGTTTATCTCAAAAATAAGATGATGGCTCCTGAAAAACAATCCCCAAGGCTCGCCTCTGGCCTGCATGTGCATGCACACATGTGTTAAACACACACATACATGAACATACACACACTCATACATGCACACACATTCAAAGGGACTCAGTCATTCTCCATTCTCTTCACCTGCTGCGGGTACTGAGGCAGGATTGCCAAACACCCCCAGACAGCAGCCAAGCCACCTTCACCTCACCTATTGCACGGGGGTGGCTGAGAGACAAAAGGTGGTGCTGCCCAGGACTCCTCCTCTGACGCCTGGAATCTGAGGATCTCCATGTACTTGTTTTCCAAGCCCTGAATCACCAACAGGAACAGGGAACACATTCAGGGGTCATGAGAAACTGCTAATATATTCCTCATGACTCTGTTCAACCTGTCACAGCCCTGTTACCAGAACTCATAGCCCCCACCCCTCCACCCAGCACCCTGGACTCTCTGCCTCCAGACTAAGAACCCCACAGTCAGACTTAGATTTGCCCCTTCGAACTATAAAAAAAATCACACAGGATGCATCCTAAGCTGGGAAACTGACCTCCAACTGTCCTCCCCAAATGACAATGTGTGGTGTCTTTCCCCCATCCTGCAAGATGCTACTTTGGTTTTCCAAGGACTCTCAAACCTGACATGTTTGTCTCCTCCCTGTGTCTATGGGAGGGAAGGAGGGAGGAAGGGACAGAGAAAGGGAGGGAGGGAGGGAAAGGGTTCCCTTTCCACCTGCTCAAGTCCCCTTTCTAGTCATCCCCATTGAAGACAGGTGGGGACAGTCACCATGGAGGAGGCCTGGTCTTCCAAATGCCCTAGCTGTCCTGAGCTTGGAGAAAGAGTTAATGTAGGGTTTGAATTTTTTAACTTCCTTATCTGTTCATCCACCCACCCACCCATCCATCCACCCACCCACCCATCCATCCACCCACCCACCCATCCATACCTC